GGACCATGGTTCTATGTTCCCCACATAAGCCTCTATAACATCCATCAAACCATTTTGAGAAAACGCTTCACGTCCTGAAAGACCCCCCTCCTTGTTAATATTCAGCCCTACTTACGCATAAGCGGTTTTGTTCTTCATGAGGTAATGGAGATAATTGCCCATGTCTTGCGTGTTATTAAAGTCGTCAGCGGCGATGAAGGAGTTTGGTGGAACAAACGGCTCCACCAACGATCGCTAAAAACATTATAAATGAAGAGAAGAGCCTTGATCTCATACAGGAAACGTCCATTTCATTGAGATCACGAAAGTGCACCAATCACTCGTGATGTTGAGAACCGAAGGGTTGGGTAAGTGAAAACACGGGACCATAGAAAAAAAAAACTTAAAAGAGGAGCCCACAATAACGTTGGAATTCGAAGAAGGGAGAACTTTCATACCTAATGGAAAGACAGGAGCATCCCTGAGGGTGTGGACCACACACAACACGCAGCAAGGGAAATGCCACCGGCAATCCCGCATGGCCGTCTTCGCGCCGCTATCGCCACGGCACGCCCACCCATTGGCTAACCGCTCCATTGGTCTCTAATTGCTCAGTATAGAGAGAGTATTAGCTTCTAACAAGGTATCACCATAAAAGACTTACCGTTGCGGAAAACAAAGGGCAAGGAAGGGTCCTACTCTCGAGCCTCGGGCCGTTTCTCATGGTTTTTTCTTTATACCGGCACTAAACCCCACATCCACCTCAATTCTAATGGGCTGAATTCTAATCGTAAATACCGTTTTTTATAGCACGAGTAGGAATCGAATTGGTGCGTTATTTTGTTCAAAAATTAGACAAGAGCAATGAGTAACGTTATTTGGGAGAAAAAGCAAAAAGAGCCATAGAAAACACTGAAATTCCGTTGTGATTCGGTCGTGGTATGACGGAGAGACACAGCGCTGCAAGGAGAGGGAAGACGCGAGAGAGCTTGTCGCAGGGTGAATATCGGTCGAGGATTCCTCAACGGCACGTCGAGGATTTTCGCCTGATCAGTTACGATCTCCCGCGCGGACATTCACACTCGCCATGCGCGAGCCGTCTGTGCTCTCCGCGCGTACGTTCACTCTCGGCACTACTCTCGCACAGTAGCTATGGTCGAGGAATTCCTCGACCGTTATTCACCCTGGCTCGTCGTACGCGAGAGGACGCTAATGTTATTATTGATAAGGGGATGTGCAAATGTTACGATTTGATAAGGATAGACGGCCTATCTTGAAGGCAAGACCTTAGCGGCGTTGCCTCGCACGTTGAACGGCGACATTGTCAAGTCTCCTGCGCTTGGGGACCATTCTTTCTCACTACTTTTAGGCATCTATTCCCGACTAGTGGCTTTAATTTGTAGCAACCCCTACAAACGGCATCTCCTGATTTACACATCGTTTGAGAGGTGTCTTCCAAAAGTAACTGGGAAATTTGGGCAACTGCGATTGGATGTGAAGCCACGGGAGCACACTCACCTTCAGCACCAGTGGCACAATATCCCGTTGATATCCCTGATTCCAGAGTTTTTCAGTGATGTAGTCCTTACAGATTGAGTTTTCGAATGCGATGTAGAAGTGGTAACTAAACGAGAACATTGTAAACCCTGCGAAAACTGTGTTCGATCAGTTTCCCTTCTAGAGTGAGCCATGCGCATTCTACTTCACTAAGAAATCAACTTGCACCAACTTGGTTTTCCACTTCCGGGTTACCCAATTTCCAGCTGTTTCCTTTTTCTTCGGAACGACTGCAATCCTAATAAATTGAGCTTGGAGCAATAGAAGGTTTATCTATACTCGGAGTGAGAAATGTGCGCGAAGAGCTGGGTACGCGAACGGGGAGGCCCGTTCGCGCGGCAAGAAACATACGCAGCTATAGCGGACTGCTCGCGGGGCGTACTGTAGCGATTTTGCGTCAACATGAACACAATGTCTCGTTGTACGTGCTACATAGCACATTACGCCTGCGCACCTGGTTCGCTGATCCGCTCTTGTCGCGAAACGGCTGCCTCTCGTCGGGTACCCCCGGGAACTGACACGCGGACTGAGCACGTGGGATGCTTTCGGCCACTTTACTCTCAGAGATTACCACGAAGCATCGTATATTATTTCTTATGTGAACAGCGAAATCTGTTGATGTGAATCTAAATCACCCAAATTTCCTCGGATGTGCCATGCTCTCAACTCTATTTAATATCGCTGCTCAATTTGTATGAGTTGTTAAGCCTACATAACGATTTGGTGGAGGTAGAGGTGAAAATGAAGAGAAGCTGATTCATCAGTTCGTATTTTCCCTTTTACCGAATAAGTTAAGCAACTAAATGAAAATAGTGATACGGCTCGTAATCAGCCCATGAGATTTTGAAAGGAGCTGAAGGAGGTCCGAGTTTGCCTAAGAGTTCAAACTTACTCTTTGTCCAACATACTTTCGCAGGCTCCTCCTCGGGCACATTTTAAGTGTCCACAGCCACCATAGACGTCCACAGGGAAGCTCTCCTAAACGTTAACGGTGAATGCTGTTTTTATTGCATTTGTTTTTATATATTTTATATACTTTTTTATATATTTTTACCGAAACCTATTGATTTAATTTAATTTATTTAGTAACTTCCACAGGGAGGTCCAATTGATGTGAGGCCGTCAAAAACCTATGGGTAGGCCAATTCGAAAGAACGATGGAGGAAAATACAACAAAAAAAAACAAAGAGGAATTAAGCTAATAATGCATTCAAAAGGAGCCGAATAGAAAGTGGTACCGCACTGATTATAAAAACTAAAAATTAATAAGTGAAACAATTTAGGAAAAGTGAGTGACCCCCCTAGACGATGCGGTTTATATTGGTAGCTCTCAAAAGAATTACAGAGATCGAAGGAGGAATTGCAGCGTTTTAAACTTGCTCGACGACGGTATAAGACTACTAGGGTGCGGGAAAGTGATTGAAATAAATAGATAAACGTAATTTTACATTTTATACTATCCTTTACAGGCCAACATCTACTGAATTATGCACTAATATTGTCAGAGAGAAAGCTTGCTACCTTCAGTTCTTTCACGTACACTTCCCTCTTGCTGTTCGTGGCACAGTGCGAGACAAACCAAGCAGCGCCCTTGGTCTTTCCATTGTATAGTGACATGATTGATCAAACTGAAAGTGACAAAATTACAACCCTTTTTTCTCATCCTTTGAGAACTAGGCAAATATTGGCAGGAGAAGCTGGGTCAGCACTAGTTAGCTGTCCTTGTAGGTACACTAAAGTCGTATGCGAAGCGTCGTATTGGTACGCATCGAAGCACTTCCCTAGATCAGCCCCTGTTGAGCTGCCCTCTCTTGCAAAAACGAGAAGAGCGTCGGGTGCAGACTACACAGCACAAGTGACGACTACCAAGAAAAAAGAAAAGAGAGGCCACATTTTTTCGGCCGTCGTCACTTGTGGTGTATGGTCCGCACTCGGCGCCCTTCTCGTATTCCGAAATAGAGAGAACAGCATCTTCGAACGGCTATCCACTTGTCGCTAACTCGGAGGCGGATGATACAGCTCTGTGAGAGCTTTACGCACAACTGCTGGTGGACTCCTCGTTCCCAAAAAATTAATCCAATAATAATTCATTTACACTGTAGGCCCTAATTTTTTTATTTCTAGTTGTTTTTCCACATCGGTCACTGTGGTAAACTGCGTCAATCGTTTTTCACTTCAGACAAATGGAATTTCCTGCTATCTCTCCTATATTGGTGAATAGCGGATAAAGTAGATATGAGCAAGGGACATAGGACAGGTCTTCACTTCAACAGCCCCCGGTTGATTACTCTATAGTGGAAACAGAGGCATTTTATTCACCTCTCCTTGTGGCCTTGAATTTGAAGCTAGTTTAATTGTGTAGCCATATGGAGAAGCAGCGGGCGTGTCATGACGGAATCCTAGTGACATATTGAAAAAATCAGGATACGGTAATTCAAAGTCAGCGTTTGCCGGCGATTCCTGAAACAACTGCGATAGGTTAGAAGGCCCAGAAACTATGGAGAGCGCTGTGAACTTGAACAGCAAGCAAAGTGAAGAATACCTGACTGAAGAAGATGACGTACTGGTCACTTCTACGCTTGAATTTAGGATCACTGTGAGCCATTAGCACCTGCAACAACACTCGTTTTTTAGGTCCAGAGACTTGAAAAATCAGCCATTTTTGTTCCTGTGCTTCGAGCGTTTGCTCTATTTGTATACTTCGCGTTCTATAAATGTGACGAAGTTCTTGTGTCAAAATAAATCAGGAGTTGGGGTTGGCGGGCGCCGTTCGTGCAAGAACAACCGGGTCGAGATTCCGACAAAATTAAATGGTGCCCATGTTTCCGTTGTGTTTAATGGGGTTCTCGAATTAGGGCGGAAGTGGTGTAGTGACAAGTGGCACGCTTACCACGCGAGCGGTCCGGGGATCAAATCCTGGGTCGTGAGTCGCCCGGGCCAACCAAGCCTTCCATCCCTCCGGGGTCGGTTAATTGGTACCAGACTTGTCTGGGAGGATAAAAACACTGACTTGTACATCGGCTGGCCCCGCAAGTCATTGTATAGGCCACATCGCATTCAAACGCCACTACGAATGTACAAATGGAAGTAGAATGCGTGCCGCATCCCAAAAAGGGATTGATCAACGGCAAATGCTTTATCCTTTATCCTTATCCTTTAACTAGTTAGGAGCTTAAATCAACTTTATATGAGACGGCCGCGTTGTGTTAGTTGATCTGACGTGCTATAAAAGCATCCAGGAATTTGAGTACAGCTCAGATTCGTGGCGCATTCGACGGTCCTTCCCGAGAAGAACTTTTCCCAAATTGATCCGACCTGAACTTTCAACGATGCCCGCTTAGAATTAACTAGCTATTCGACTTTTGCTTTAAAACCTCTGTCCCGTGTCACCACTGTGACCTTAGTCGACGGACGCATTACATCATGGAATATTCCTTGAGAATGTCTCGAAAGACAAGGGCAACAATGTTAGTGCAGTAGAAGAGGCACAGAAACAACGTGATCAGGCCTTTACCATACTCGCATGCTGTCGTCATTTTCTGTCTGCGTCTCGCTTGCCAGCCTGCTCTCTCGTCTCCGATGTTTGTCCTCTCTTTTTTGCAATGCTCATCAGCAACAGCGAAATGCAGCTCGCAGTTGTGGCGTTTCTGGCAGGCTTCTCTAATTTTCTCTCAGCTGCTGAGTCACGAAGCTTTTACTGACCATGTTTGGTCCAATATCTCCTTCCGTTCTATCATGAAATGTGTCCCCGAATGAGCCCTTTTTATCTCCACAAAATCTTGTAAAAATTTACTCACCGCACCCGCAGTTTCCGCGTATTTCCTATCGTGGACCAATTTACAATTCCAATCTGGGCAACCGCCAAGGTTTTCTTGTGTGTGCCCAGCATTCCATGACAATATCACTTTAGGCGGTGCTATAATGACAAATTTTTAGCATGATTATGAACCTTTCAGAATTCAAAAATTCGGTACCTTTCCGGTCCGCATGACATTCCAACCGCTCGCCAAGTGAGATCTTACTGTCCGTCAGCAGTTGTTCAACGAAAAACGGTGGACCTCCGCGAGGAACGAATTTGTAACCTTGAAATAAGAAGAGATTAGTGAAGCTGAGCTGAACTCTGGATTTCTTGAAGTTTGAACCTGATCAGATGATCACCTTGTGATTTTCCCTCCGATGTGGGCGCTTGATTCGTACTCGACACCACCGACTTCGTTTGATTCCCGCTTAGAAGAGCATTCTGCCGCCATTGTTCTTCGATGCCAGGTCGAACGAACCTCGGCGAGATTGATCTCTACAATTAATCGCTCAAGGTCACGTTGATCGCGTCATGATCAAAATATTTCCAGGGCTCTTTAATGGCGATTTAGGGTCTAATCATGGCCCTCATCAGGTGCCATGGCGATGCCAGCATATTGACTGATATTGTTTTGTGCTCGTAATATCGACCCAAGTACTTAAAAAATTTTGCGAATTATGCGTAGAGGTAAAACTGCATAGAGAACAGACATGGGAATAGCGCTAGAGAGAACTTCACCGTTTTCTAGCACTAATAGGCCTGCAGAGTGTAAGAAGTACTGGGTAAAGAGAGATCTTTAGACTAGCTGAAGTTTCCCCATTCTCCTTCTTCCTTCCTCTCCTTTTTGAAGGTCAGATCCAGTTGCACAGGTGAGCTTATGTCAAATGTTGACGTGCCCGTGTCATCTAGAAAACAGAAGCGGTCACATTGCCTATGGGAGTGCGAATTTGGCACAAACTTAAAAGGATGCTCGTACGGACTGGGTACCAGGAATCGATGAAGAGAAGAAGGTATGGTATTCTGCCTATCACATGAAATTGCATGCAGAAAGGCCTTCCTGTGATTTATAGGAAGATCAACTATTGATCAAGAGAACAAAGCATTAGGCGTTAGCTTTTTTTCAGGATACGCCACGCGCATTTCTCCCACTCAGAAAAGCAGCATCACCTAAATGTGATTTGGCACACAGAAGAGATGCAGTGATATGCTAATGCAGTGACTTGATAAAGATATGATATGATAGGCTGGAGAAGGTGATAGGAATCGCACGACTCCGCTGTACTACTCCTGCAAAGGGTTTCAATACGATCCTCATATATGCTTTTCTTCGAAGGGAA